GCGAGTTGCGGTGATAAAAATTAATATTCTCCCGAGGATCCTGTATCTCATGCAGACTATAACTCTCGCACTCCCGTCGACCTTCTTCTCTACCCTGAAAACAGCGGTGATCAAATTTATCTGGCGGGGAGGACGATCTAGGATCCGACATGACATCATTTGCCGACCTAGAATCTACGGAGGGCTAGCGCTACCAGATTTTAAGAAATATCATCAGGCAGCGATCATGCAACGTATCTTGGACTGGCACTCCATGCAGACACCTAAACAATGGGTTGAACTTGACAGGGGCCTGGTCGGCCCGACGCTGGAGGTGAGGATCTGGGGAGGCCCCGGGGGATCGTCGGCTCCCCTCGCCGAAGAAGGACTGATCCTACAGACCTTACAAGATTGGAGGAAGCTGAGGACGCAGGACCACATATCCCCTGTACCCAGCCCGATGCTGCCGATTACTCATAACGCGGACGTAGGGGGAGGTCTCCCTCCCGAAGCGTTACCCATCCAAGGTAATGGTTCATACATACCCATACATATGGCCCTAGCAGGCGGGAATCTGCGGGACCTTTCCTCGATGTTGGATGACAGACCTCGGACCCCCCTCCTCCAGTTTCGATATCTCCAACTGAAACATTTCTATAATTCGTTACCACACAAGACTCACTTGCACAGGGATCTAACGTGGTTTGAGGATCTCTGCGACCGGGGTGCTACGCTCGAACGCGCGCTTTCGGCACTATATCAACATCTACTAGTCGGAGGTGCGCCGGTAGCGGTGACGTTCAAACGGCAATGGGAAGGACAACTGGGGACAACACTCACGACACAGCAATGGGATGCTGCATTGCTCTGGCAGCACAAGAGTTCTATGAGCTCGTATTACCAAGAAGTGAATTATAAATTGCTATCACTATGGTATAGAACGCCGACTTTACTGCACCGTATATTCCCCTCGATCCCCCCAGAGTGTTGGAGATGCCAGGAAGCACGCGGCACTGTACTACATATCTGGTGGGAGTGCAGAGCAATTACCCCATACTGGGAAATGATTAGGGAAACAGTTGAACTCATCCTGGGAGAACAACCAGAATGGTCCGCGGAACTGGCACTACTACATATTTCGACCCAATCCATTTCATCATATAAGAAATCGATACTACGACACCTGCTCAATGCCGCCAAGGCCAACATCCCAGCCCACTGGAAACGGAGCGAAACTCCCACCAAAAAAGAGTGGATCAGCAGAGTGGAGGACATTCAAGGAGCAGAAGAAGCACAAGCTGCTTTGACGGGACGAGGAACTAGGCACGCAGAGATGTGGACGCCATGGTTCTTATATATCTCCCGCTGCCGTGGGGACGGAGACGCGCCGGGGCCCTCGGCTGGGGAGCGGGCCGGTGCGGACCCTGCTGGAGGGACCAACACCCCCTCGTAACTTGATTAACCACTATCCCTTACTTCTACCCCTTCTCTCCCCCGTCTACCTGCACGCTGGGGCCGGACTCGGGGCCGAATGTGCTAACTGTAGACAAGCAGATAACGCAATGGTACTATTGAACGACAGGGAAGAAAGATGTACATTCGTAGATGATCACGGACCATGTACGTTGCACGGTAAGCCTGGACGCGGTAACCCGGGACACCCTGTGGCCTGGTGGTCCGGCGCTTAGGCGGATAGTTAGTGATGATTAACGGCCGATAGCCTCACACCTCACATCTTCGCACACGGGCGTTACCACACATACCATTCAGAACCTCGACACTTACCACACGCTAGTTAGCGACAAGGTTTTAGGCAACATGGTTGGGATATGGAGATGCTCGAACAACGCACGAGCTTTGCCATAGGTAATGGTCCTGGGGACACTCTAGTCTCCAAACGCTTAACTTATACTTTATGTCGAATCAAGCTCCCACCTGTTCTTGGTACCCGGAGGCTTACTGTAATAATACGCTGTTACTGTTCTTATTTTACCATAATAGCCATATTATCTACATCTTCACGACTACCAAAAACATTCTTTCAGATAGGGAAATAGGGTATAGGAAATGTATGAAGGGAAAAGGGGGAAATAAGAAGGAAGGACGGGGGAGGAAAAAAAAAAAAAAAACTACTTGTTTGAATAATGTTTTTGGATATTGAATGTTGTGCATATTACATGGTCCTGTTGTACTATGAAAAACTACTGTAACACTGCCTCAATCAACATTCCTCTAATAAAGAAATTTATTTAAAAAAAAAAAAAAAATTTCATTCCTGGGCTGCTATACAATCTCAAAAGACAACATAGGCTCAGCAAACCAATCTGGCAAATTTCAATGTAAAAGGGGAAAACCCTATATTTGACCCCTGTAAGTTTGCAAAAACCCATAAAACCTATACATTGTGGGCACTGTTTTACTCGGGAGATGTTGCTGAACTTATATTGGGGTGTTCTTTGTTAGTAACACATAACAGGAACTGAGAATCCATGTACAATGTGAGAGAAAAACAACACAAAAAAATGACTACCCAAAAGGTTGTCAAAGATTGGTGGTAGAATTAGTGCATGGAAAGAGTTAAAATTACCACCATTTGAAATACCCTAGGGTGTCTACTTTTCAAAAATATATGGTTTGATGAGGGTAAATTACATTGGCCAGCTTCAAAAATGTCCCAAATAGGACATGGGTGCATGATCACCAGCTGTGAAAATTCCAAGTTGGAAAAATGGAATGCACTCCCTCCAAATAAGGTCTTTTATGCCCCAGAGAACCCGACACACCTATACATGGGTGGTATCACTGTACTCAGGATATGTTGCTGAACACAAACTGGGGTGCCTTTTGGCAGTAACCCTTAAAGTTCTAAAATTCTAAAATTGCTACGGGTGTCAAAAAAACACCAATGATTTTTATTTTTTATTTTGCATAGATTGGTGGTAAAATGGTTGCATGAAAAGAGTCAAAAAAGTGTAATACCTTAGGTTGTCTTCTTTTAAAATATATATACATGTGATTGGTTATTCAGGGATTCAGATAATGTAACTTGTGTTAATTCGAAGAAAAAAAAAAAGGTTGGAAATAGCAAAGTACTTATAGCCCTATAATTTTCCAAAAAAGCTAAGAACATGTTAACATTCGGTATTTCTAAACTCAGAAACGATTTAGCATGGGTGTTTTTTGGCGGTTGTACAGGTGATACTCGAAAAATCGTGCAAAAGTTCATTTATTTCAGTAATGTAACGTAAAAGGGGAAACTAATATATGAGATAGATACATTACATGCAAAGCAAGATAGTTCAAGCCGTGATTTGTCATAAGTGCGATGATTATGGCTTACAGCTCATGAAAACCCCAAATCCACAATCTCAGTAAACTAGAATATTGTGAAAATGTGCAATATTCTAGGCTCACAGTGTGCCACTCTAATCAGCTAAGTAAGCCATAACACCTTTTTCCTGCAAAGGGTTTCTGAGCCTTTAAATGGTCTGTCAGTCTGGTTCAGTAGGAATCACAATCATGGGGAAGACTGCTGACCTGACAGTTGTGCAGAAAACCATCAATGACACCCTCCACAAAGCGGGAAAGCCTCAAAAAGGTAATTGCGAAGGAAGTTGGATGTTCCCAAAGTGCTGTATCAAAGCACATTAATAGAAAATGATGTGGAAGGGAAAAGTGTGGAAGAAAAAGGTGCACAAGCAGCAGGGATGACCGTAGCCTGGAGAGGATTGTCAGGAAAAGGCCATTCAAAAGTGTTGGAGACTTTCACAAGGAGTGGACTGAGGCTGGAGTCAGTGCATTAAGAGCCATCACACACAGACGGATCCTGGACATGGGCTTCAGATGTCGTATTCCTTTTGTCAAGCCGCTCCTGAACAACAAACAACGTCAGAAGCGTCTTACCTGGGCTGAAGAAAAACAGACCTGGTCTGTTGCTCAGTGGTCCAAAGTCCTCTTTTCTGATGAGAGCAACTTTTGCATCTCATTTGGAAACCAAGGACCCAGAGTCTGGAGGAAGAATGGAGAGGTACACACTGGCAAGATGCTTGAAGTCCAGTGTGAAGTTTCCACAGTCTGTGTTGATTTGGAAAGCCATGTCATCTGCTTGTGTTGGTCCACTGTGCTTCATTAAGTCCAGGGACAACGCAGCCCTCTACCAGGAGATTTTGGAGCACTTCATGCTTCCTTCCACAGACGAGCTTTATGGGGATGCTGACTTCATTTTCCAGCAAGACTTGGCACCTGTCCAGACTGCCAAAAGCAACAAAGCCTGGTTCAATGACCGTGGGATTACTGTGCTTGATTGGCCAGTAAACTCGCTTGACCTAATCCCCATAGAGAATCTATGGGGCATTGCCAAGAGAAAGATGAGAGACATGATACCGAACAATGCAGAAGAGCTGAAGGCCACTATTGAAGCATCCTGGTCTTTCATAACACCTCAGAAGTGCCACAGGCTGATAGCTTCCATGCCACGCCGCATTGAGGCAGTAATTGCTGCAAAAGGGGCCCAAACCAAGTACTGAGTCCATATGCATGCTTATACTTTTCAGAGGTCCGATGTTGTTCTATGTACACTCCTTGTTTTATTGATTGCATATAATATTCCAATTTACTGAGATTGTGGATTTGGAGTTTTCATGAGCTGTAAGCCATAACCATCGCACTTATAACAAATCATGGCTTGAACTATCTTGATTTGCATGTAATGCGTCTATCTCATTTATTAGTTTCCCCTTTTACGTTGCATTACTGAAATAAATGAACTTTTGCACGATATTCAAATTTTTCAAGTATCACCTATAGATGCGTAACAGATTTTGGAGGTCAAAGTTAGAAAAGGTGTGTTTTTTTTAAATAAATAAAAAAAAAGTCATCATATTTTATACTTTTCTTATAGTAAATTATATATGATATGATGAAAATAATGGTATCTTTAGAAAGACCATTTAATGTCGAGAAAAATTATATATAATATGTGTATTACAGCTAAACACAAACACTGCAGAAATGTAAAAAGAACCCTGGTCTTTAACGGTAAGAAAATTGAAAAACGGTCTGTTCACTAAGGGGTTAAATAGTAGTAGTCAATGCATGATGTTACTGCTACACAAAGAGCAAACATTGTTCCATTTACTGTTTTAGCACGGGAAGCCATCAGTTAGCTCCTCAACTACCAATATGATCTGTGTGCATGTTCACAGTCAAAGGCAGAAGGAACACAGAAGATGTTATTCCAAAACATGAGTAAACTTACCTGTTGGCTATTATTGTTTTAACATATGTATTCGCAATTATGTAACTAGATAATTAAGTAAGCTTCTATACTATCCACTATATTTACTTCTAAATAAGTACAAGTGGACATATAATGTTTTGCCAGTGATCCAACAATGCAAAACATTGTTTGATGGTTAATATTGCTTTTTTGAGTCATGAATCCTCTTCCTTCAAGCTATTGAGGCCCCACCATTTTATAATAGGCTTATGACAAATGCACAAATGGGAAATATTTTTCACTCATCTGCCTATCTCCGCACATAGCTTGGTTCACAAAACTGTGAACTGAGTAGTCAATAATCAGAAAGTAGTTGTGGTATGGCTATTACTTATAATGCAGTACCACTTATTTTATCTGTTAAGTGGAACTCCACATGGGTATAAACTAGTTATTTCATACACTTTGCTGGAGAAAGGTTTATGACATAAGATGACACTCCAAAAATTAGAATGAGAGGCTACTTGTTGGTGGACCTCTTCCTGGTGAGAGAGAGGTCTGTACATGCAAAAAGTCTCTCTCAGATGACCAGGTACAGGTGTTTGAATGTAATTTTTTTATTTTGAATTGTATGTTAATTTTGTGCACATTTTTTTTTGACAATCTTTATTTTTCAAGTTATGTTTAACAATATACATAGAAATAGGTTCAGGTTAGAAATCATTGGCAGTCACATTTTAACAAGTTGTTTTGTGCAAATTACAATTTGGTTATGCCCATACGGTGGTTTCTTTGTAAAAATCTGTTAGTCTTGTCTTTTAATATGGTTTTGTGCACAATTTTGAATGCATTATTTATGCAATACATTCAAATATGGGGTGATTTATGACAAGTTTTCTAAAGAGTAAAAATTAAATCATATAAATACAAGCTGTTACAGAAGCACATTAAGAACAGTATTAGAGCATTTCAAGAAGAATTTATAAAATAAAAAAGTTTCCCTTTAGAATAAAGTTAGATTAATTTAAAGAAACACTATACCTGCCAGGAAAACAAAGTTGTTTTCCTGGCACTATAGCTCCCTATAATGCTCCCCCCCATGGGGCAAAAGGGGTTAAAAAACCCTCCTGCCACTTACCTGAGTCCAGTGCTGAAGTCCCTTAGCGCTGGCTCAGAGTGCACCTTCGCTCCTCCTCCACCGACGTCAGCCACGCTCGCCTAACAACCCTGAAGTCGCTTTATAGATGGAGTTAACCCATAACGGTAATTATCACAGTTAATAACTGCAATAATTACCTTTCCAGCATTAAGGGACCTGGGATACCCTTTAATTGGATATCTTAGTTAATATTTAGATGACCAAACTTTTTGAAACTGCTTATTACTTACAAGACTGATCACGAATGCCTATAAAATCAGCACTGGTGCCTTCTAAATCTTCAGACTAGTCAGCAAACCTGTTAAGTTAATATTTCAGTATCTAAATAACACAGTAAAGGGGTGGGGTAAAGTACATTGGCATGTAGGAGGGGGGCACTATAGGGAGCAATGGTGCTAGGAAATCAGCTATTTTCCTGGCATACTATTTCCCTTTAAGCAATTCTTTATAATTCTTATGTCAAGAGGAGATGACAGTGTGTATGAATGCCGTCTGTATTACAAACTAAGCATAGCATGGGTGTAATGATATGCATGTACCATTAGGAACAGCCAAGGTTAACCAAATTTGAAATAGGAAAGACTTGTCAGTGACTGCAAATTTTAATACATCTTTTGCAGACAAGAGGACCATAGAAACCTGCGTTTTTTGCCACAAAGCTCTACCAACTATAATGGGTTAATAGGGCACTTCAAGCAGCAACACAACTTCATGTTAGTGAAGTTGTTGTGGTACAAGGATGCCCCCACGCTCACTTATACCTCAATGGATTAAACCACCAGCTACTGGGGACTACCCCTCCCATGATGCTCAGCCATCCGCAAAAGTTGCTGAGCATCAATGGAAACGTGCTCCACAGAAGCCTGAGCGACAGAAAGCAGCCCCCATTAAACAAATGACTCGCTGTGTGTGATGTTTACTTTATTACAGACACGCACATGGTGCTGTCACCCCGCCTCTCCCTTTAACATTACTCTGCTACACACACATCATTACACTCGCCTCCGGGTCCAGCGAGCAGCCATCACTGCTTCTCCTCACCTTTCGACTTAGGAAGAAGCAGAAACTAATATTAATGAGTTTCTCACCTAGTACTACTCCTTCCAGGCTTTCAAACGCTTCCGGGAACTACCGTTTCCGCCTCCGTGCTACATTGTGACCATAGAGTGGGTATTCCATCCGGTGGCTAGAACGGAGGCCGCGCTATCACTCGGTAGCTGCGAACATTCTATCGTGTCTGAGACAGCAAGGCAGTGTTATACCAGGGCTATATGGGAGAGCAGTGCTTTATTGTGATTCAGAGCAAAACAGATTGTAGGGTTTACATAAAAAATAGTCATGAAAATACTTGAAGTATAGACAGCAAGGCAACAAAAACATATAATTATAATATATGGATAAGGCTGCAACTGCATCCCAAGAACCATAACCACTACAACACAATGTAGTGGTTATGGTACCAGGATTTCTCTTACGGGCCGCCCCCCATTGTAAGTAGTCAAATTACTTTATAAGTCCCTGATGTCTTAGCTTGGGTCTAGCAGGTGTTACAGTCTGTCTCCACTACTTTCTAATGAGATCTGGAAGCTTCTTTAGCCCTTCCGAATTAAAGGCCCACTCCACACTAAAATATGTGGAGAAAATAAATCACCGTTTAGTAGACATATCCAGTGGCATACACACAATCCATGGGGCCCCGGTGCGAAACTGATTCATGGTTCCTCTCTCCCCCACAGACACACACACACACACATAGAGACATACACTCATAGACACAGACAGATAGATACATACATACAGACTCCCCCTGGAGTGACGGTGACGGTCGCAGTTGCAATTTTAGAATTTGGTATGTTTGTTTTGTAAGCTTAATAGCCATAAAAGAAAACACAATTGCCACACAAAGTATATATTTATAAAAAGTAGACATCACGGGCTATTTTCCTAAGGTTATTGTGGCCCTTTTTACGTAGCCATTTCAGCGCCAATCTCTGCTAAATATTAGAGTAAAATTGTGGGGTTTTTTGACACAAAAACTTATAACAAAGATTATGTTTATATTGTAAAGTTGGTGTGTCCTATTCCTGTACATTTATTTATTTTGTGTTCAGCTACATCTGCTGAGAACGATACCCCCATTGTATTTCTTTGGCACTATTTTGTGAAGCTACAGTGCCACATAGGAGACCTGTCCATTTCAGTATTTACAGTAGAATGTTGAAACGGATTTGATGGGTCTATGTTTCAATTTGGGGTATTATAGCAGTTTGACTGTTCAAAAAACCCACACAAAGGCCTACCATTTGTAAAAGTAGGCACTCCAGGGCAGTGGCGTACACACCAGGGTCGCAGGGGTCGCGGCTGCGACCACGCCCGGCCCACCAGGGGGCCCGGCCGCCCCTGCGACCTGGTGTGTACCCACTGGGCCAGCCTCTTCCCCTGGGGGGCCCAGGAGCCGACCACCCCAGGGCCCCCCGAGGCTGGCCCTGCTGACACCCGGAAGGCGGGTGGCCGATCGGGCAGGCAGGCGGGCGCGCGAGGGAGCACTCAGTGCTTCTTCTTCAGCTCCCTCGCGCACCGCACTGATACCGGAGCCGGAAGATGACGTCATCTTCCGGCGCCGGCATCCCTACGCGGCGCGCGAGGGAGCTGAAGAGGAAGCACTGAGTGCTCCCTCGCGCGCCCGCCTGCCCGACCGGCCACCTGCCCAGGAGCCCAGCAGCACCACTGGACCCCAGGCAATCCCCCCAGCACTCCAAAAGGTAAGGAGGCTGGGGGGGATTACATTTTAAAAAACAAAAAAACACATGTGAGAGTGAGTGTTAGAGTGAGTGTTAGTATGTGTGTCTGCTAGTGAGTGTTAGTGTGTGTGAGTGTGTGTCTGCTAGTGAGTGTTAGTGTGTGTGAGTGTTAGTATGTGTGTCTGCTAGTGAGTGTTAGTGTGTGTGAGTGTTAGTATGTGTGTCTGCTAGTGAGTGTTAGTGTGTGTGAGTGTTAGTATGTGTGTCTGCTAGTGAGTGTTAGTGTGTGTGAGTGTTAGTGTGTGTGTCTGCTAGTGAGTGTTAGTGTGTGTGAGTGTTAGTGTGTGTGAGTGTTAATGTGTGTGTCTGCTAGTGAGTGTCAGTGAGTTTGTTTGATGTCTGTTAGTGAGTGCGTGTTTATCAATGAGAGTGTATGTTTTGTAAGTGAGTGTGTATGTATGTCTGTCGCTGAGTGTGTCTCTGTCAGTAAATGTGTGTGTCTGTTAGCTAGTGTGTATGCGTTTGTAAGTGTGTGTGTGTGTGTGTCTTCAGCACTTACCTTTCTCTAGCGCCGGACTCCCTTGGCGCTGGGGATCTTTCAGCTCCGAATGAGACCGCGCACGCATTCAAACCGCCCATAGGAAAGCATTACTCAATGCTTTCCTATGGACGTTCAGTGTGCTCCTCTAGCGGCTGTCAGTGAGACAGCCACTAGAGGCTGGATTAACCCTCAGTGAAACATAGCAGTTTCTCTGAAAAAATTTTGGACATTTTTTACATACGTATTACATTTTTGCTGGGCATTTTGTATATTTGATATGTGCCACTATGATCAAAGCCCCAAAATATGCTCAGCTAAGTCTTCTGATTAAAACAATACCTAGCTACAGTGCCATATAGGAGACACCCCAGGGTATTTCAAAAGGCATATTTTAAACCTTTGCGTAGGATCATTTTTTTGCTAGTTTGTACCAAGTCTAATAGCAATTAGCATTTTTTCTGCCTTTTTGAAACACACTTGGAGATGCTACTATATATTTTGCAATCCTTATGTGTGCTACAGCAGTATAACACCCAAATATGTTGCTCAGTATAACAATACCCCCATGCAGGGCAGGACTGGGAAAACAATTCAGCCCGGGCATTTTTTTTTTTTCACAGTGGCCCACTAAGAAGAGGATGGGACAGAGAGGGTGTGTTTTGTCATCACCAATGACAAACACGCCCCTTTTAAATTGAGCATGTTGGTTCAATGCTCTTCTAGGGCAGACCATGCACAGAGCTCTGCTGAAGAGCTATAGCATGATAAAAAGGCCATGTATTTGATCTGCACAGTGCAAGCAAATTTAATAATCTTTCCTTGCAACTTGTCTCTGGTGTCTCTATAAATGGGATACCAGGAGACAAAAGGGCCAGGAAAGAGTATTGTGCATGTGGGATTGTGTGTGTGTAGAGTGAGCTGATTGTGGTGTGGTATTGTAGAATAAAGTCGGTTTTAGTTGTGTTATGTTTGTGGTGTAATGCAATGCATATCTGGCTAGTGGCTGTAGAGAGTGTGTGTGTATAGGGGATGTAGCAAGTGTGGGCATACGGGCTATAGTGTGTGTGTGTGTATAGGTGATGTAGGGGTTGTGGAGAGTGTGTGTTTAGGGAATGTAGTATATGTTTGCTTACAAGGAATCTAGTGTGTATGTTGGGAATATAGTGTGTGTGTAGGTGGTGCAGTCTGATCTAGTGAATGTGTGTATATAGCGGATTCAGAGTGTATATAGGTATCTAGTGTGTGTTTGTGTGTAGATGATCCAGAGTTGGGTAAAAGACCTAGGGTGTGTCTGGAATGTAATGTGTTTTAGGGGTGCAGTATGTGTACTGTCACATCATCCATCTAGACATTTGGTAGAATGCATTATCTCGGGTCTATCAGAAGGATTCCACACAGGTCTCATACACATGCCTTCCGGAATCCTGGAATGTCCTAATTTACAATCCGCACAGCAAAATCCTACAGCGGTTGACACACTCATAGCCAAGGAAGTGGCAGAGGGCTTCCTATTGGGGCCCTTCCAGTCCCCTCCTTTCACCACATGGCGGACAAACCCCATTAGTATTGTCACGGGGAAATCTTCCCACAAACAGAGACTTATCATCTATCTATCGGCACCACACACCTCTGCCACTCCTAGTCTGAACTCCCTCATACCCTCTGAGGAATTTTCACTGCAATATTCCACCATATATAACGCCATTACGGCTATCATGCAGGCTGGGGTCGGAGCATGGCTCAGTAAGACCGATATAACAAATGCTTTCAAGTTACTGCCTATCCACCCTACACTTTGGCACCTACATGGCATCAAGTGGGCCGGAAACTACTACTTTTTCTCACGTTTAACTTTTGGTTCCAAAAGTAGTCCAGCCATTTTCGACGTATTCGCCGAAACCCTATGCTGGTTATTATTAAATATAGCCAGATGCCCTACAGTTATACATTATCTGGATGATTTCTTACTGGTCGAGGAGAATATTTCCCCTCCCAGTAGCCTCAAAGAAACCATCAGTCTATTCAATCAGTTGGGTGTCCCAATCTCCCCCACCAAGACTGAAGGACCAGATACCTTCATCACATTCCTGGGTATCATACTAGACTCAGCCACCATGCAAGCGAGCCTGCCACGCACCAAGGTAGAAAACATTCTTACAAACATAAATCTCTACATACAACTCGGTACTTGCAACCGCAAAGAACTACAGTCTCTGCTGGGGTCACTAAATTTTGCTATGCGCATCATACGTCAAGGCCGTGCTTTCATCTCACGACTCCTTTACATGTTCTCACTTTTTAGACATGATGCACACAGGTTATCCCTGTATACCCAAGCCACGGCAGACCTACTTATGTGGAGAAACTTTTTAACCACCTGGAATGGTAAAAGTATGTTCCTCCCTAAATTGTCTGACTCCTCACCTACCATCTGGTCAGACGCGGCGTCTACCACAGGTTTTGCAGCAATTTATGGGAATGAATGGCTTTGGGGCAGCTGGCCTTCAGAGGTTAAGGACCTGGAGGGTTTTTCCACAACCTCAGCTCTGTTTGAGATATATCCCATAGTGGCGGCTGCCGTGGCATGGGGGCATTTATGGGCAGGTTCGCCAGTACGTTGCTACTCAGACAACCAAGCAACTTGCCACATTATTAACAAAGACCGATCCAAATCACTGACTATTATGAGATTCCTGAGGAAACTCATTTGGTTGGCTGCATGTCATAATTTCTTCTTGTTTTGTGTTCATGTTCCAGGTGTATGTAACACGGCTGCTGACAATTTGTCTCGCTTTAATTTCCAGGCTTTTCGTTAAATACTCCCGTCAGCCGCACTCACAGCCACGACCACTCCACTATTCC